CAGCTGCGTACCTACCAACTCACTTTCCTATTAGTGCGCATACGCGGCCTTTCTACATACAGATGCTCTCGCGCTCGCAGCTGACTGTCGACACTCGACAGCTTGACTATTGTGTTAGTCGCCTGTTGTAGCTCACCAACTGTTAATCCGTGTCATTCTCATTGTATGTATTTTATCTTTTCTTTCTTGTCCTGAAGATGCTGTAATTCATATGAAAACACAATAAAGGGACAAGGGGATATAATGAAACAACATACATAATAATAGTACGAATTTATTTATATTCAAAATGCAATTAATAACCCATTACAACTGCTCAGGACATTACGTCGCGCCGTCTGCTCACATTGTTAGGTGACGAATAATCTATTGCACAATCTTGCTTGCCTCATTAATTTGCGTTTACTGTTTGACTTGAGTAAAACTACCGTTGACTGTGATAGTTAATTAAATCTAATGTATTATTGTAATCTGTACCGAACCGAATTTGTACCGAAAAAAATGTTGTCCCGAACCGACGTCGGTACTTAGTCCTGTACCGTACCGAACCGACTTTTTCAGTGCACCGTAGACCCCTATTTTTTACCCAAAAACTCTGGGCTACCAACTGGACAGCCATAATCTGCTTTGAATAGGCTAAAACAGCAACACCATTGAAAGTTGGTTAACGTATTTTAACGTGTTGTCTGTCAGTCACAGTATATGCCCCGCATGAGAACATTCTCACGTTGTTCAGTGGAGTTTCTCTTAATACCTGTCCCAAAGTTTGAAAGTATGGATTCATTTGTCGAAATAGGTTGGATAACTCTTGTAGCTATAAGATTTGGATAGCAATTTTCATTTTCTCTTTTTGAACATCGTATATTATTTTACTCTCTTGAATCATAAAAATAAACTTTACCTTAACTACTCGATCGTTGAATACATAAACACTAATTCCTTCACTTATGCTAGGTCTAATATTGCCACTAAAACATTCAATAGTAAATGAGTTTTTGAATCTTCTTACTTTTGACTTGAAATGTCTGGATTGTGTTGGTGAATTCAGTCAAAAAACTTTGTATAAGTTTGTCAGAGCAACTGGCAACATAACCTAGAAGTAAACAATCCATTTGCGTTTTTTCTCAATTGAAGTAGAGCGAGCAATACAAAAGTTTACAATAAAAACATAAGGTCCGTTAAGAAAAATCTGTTGACACCTTAAACGTTAAAATTGGTCTACAAATAAGGGAGGAATTATGTTAACAAAAGACGGCTTCACGTATTATATATATAGATTCCACACTTTTTTGTAAATTTACTAACATTTATATTTGAGATTTATTGTAGTGTTTAATCAATATTTTGTATGAAGTGGAATAACTAAACGGTTACTCTTAGAAAACAATTTGGGAATAAAGATGAAGTAGGTTCGTACAGGTATTTGTTCATTAAGTACTTAAGTACTTTGTTGCTCCAAGCAAAAAAGGTTAAACAAATATAGCCTAGCATGCACGGTAGTAAAGGGAGCACCTACATTTAACAGTCGAACATAGAGGTAATTTCCGTTTCTTAAAACTAACCAAAAATATTTATGTCGTGATTAGTTTCGATAACTGGGTAATAGAACCCTAACCAGTCGCAAAATAGTTAGTAATTAGACGTTGATTAGGTCCTTTTTTGGTAGAATATGTAAATCAATCGCACCTTTAGGAGGATTACCACAACATATACTTACATAATAATTAACATACTAGTGTACCTGTTGCTCGAATTCGAGCAATTTCGAAGCATTACAGGCGACTCAAAGCTTATGGAAATACTCACGATCTACACAACAGTTGGATATAATCAAAATCTTTTGTAAATACAGTATCTTATCTTTTTTCAAAAATCTTATCTTGTTTTTTTTTGTGTTTTCTACAAATTTTTCCCTCTCATAGCCGCATTAGGTTGTCTATGACAACGATTATAAATGAAAAAAAATTATTTCTATTTCTTCTACTTGGTTGTGTTCTATGACTTTTTCTATGATTCCATTGTTTGCAAATCGATTATTTCAATGATTGCTCAAGAAATGTATAACAGTGTTAATTCAGTTTTATTTTTAGCCCATATCAAACTGTCCAGGATTTCTCGCTCTTTTCGATTGTAATAATTACACCAACCCAAGTTTCGTCTACAGATGCAATATGCCAACGAATATCACCTACGTACAATCTCCAAGAAGTGGTAAAAAAGGCAGAAACCAACCCATACAATAGATATAAGTTAACTCCAAAAGAAATAATTTTAAGAATTACTGTGATATTAGGATTTTTCACTGATTTGGGAATAGAACATTATATTGCAAAACATGACACGATGCAGAAGAAAATCCAATTTATCAATCAGAAAAACCCATTGCAAATACTGTACTTCATTTTGACAACTTCAATAAATCACAATTTAAATATTAACAGCTGTTGAATTAAAAGGTAGTGTAGAATTATGCATATGGTCGTAATGTAAACACATCTGAAGAGGCAACCTTAAAGGCTTCTGGGGCAGAGCCCCAAGGGAATTTACCTCTTTCCTCTTTTGATGGCTCATCTACAGACCAAGACCTTTCTTTAGACACCTCTACCGAGTTTCTACGCCCAGCCGTTCTCTCAAAATAGCTGTGACAAAGAAAAACAGTTTCAAATTATTATATAGATACTTGATAATTACTAGGCTAATAGTGGTTTTTTAGCGAATTTCCCTATAGGGAAGTAGCTATTACCGTAGGTCTCATGGTAAGACTTAGGCCCGGGACCGATTTACTTTTTCATTTTGATGTCCCCAGAGGCCAAAAACACCACTCGTTCAAATTTTTATTTATGTATATATATATATATAAAATCAAAACATATATAACAAAGTACCCTTTTAGTAATTATTTTATTTTTCATGACGACATGTTTCGGAACTAAGTCCATTGTCAAGTCATTTTTACCATAACCTCATTCTTTAAACTAACAAAATTAAAATATAATCATATGTAAAAATAATAAAATATGTTAACTAAATCTTAATACATTTTGGTATTAATTTTTTTTTTCATTATACTATATGAATGAAAAGAAAACATGAAAGAAAATCTAACAATTTTAGAATATGAAAAAACGTGAGAAACTTAATGTAAAAGAAGAGCTAAATATTTATATACACAACAAAAAGGACCCCAACAACATACTTAACACAATGATTCCAAAATTAAACCAACCTATCTACGATAAAATTAAAAAACTAAGGAAAGAAAGAAAAACATTCATATAGTATAATGAAAAAAAAAATTAATACCAAAATGTATTAAGATTTAGTTAACATATTTTATTATTTTTACATATGATTATATTTTTAATTTTGTTAGTTTAAAGAATGAGGTTATGGTAAAAATGACTTGACAATGGACTTAGTTCCGAAACATGTCGTCATGAAAAATAAAATAATTACTAAAAGGGTACTTTGTTATATATGTTTTGATTTTATTATATTAGTAGCCCTAAAAATGCAAGAAAATAATATATATATATATATATATATATATATATATATATATATATATATATATATATATGTGTGTGTGTGTGTGTGTCCGTGAACACGATAACTTGAGTAATTTTTATCCGATTTTGATGAAATTTGGTTTGAAGGTGTAAGGCGGGATAAACTTGAATGATTTCGCGATCCAGCATGATCGGACCGTGGGAACAGGGTTTTATGGGGTAAAAATTGGTTTTTCTCACTTTTGACCCTCAAAACACAAAATTTCCCAATTTTTCTCTAAACCTTCTTAAAGAGCTTAAAAAACAAACAATTCAGTATATCAAAGTGTTTTTGTACGGTTATTGGTTACGGAGAAAACTAAAAAAATGGTAAATTTAAAATTCCCATGTTATTCTTATGGAGAATATTGTAAAATGTTGTAGTTTGCTTGTTTATGGATATCTTTTGATCAAACTTGGCAAATATATTCATTTAATACTAAGCAATAATTATTTTACTTAAAACACACACTTTATTAGTTTCCTTGTAGCAGCAAACCTAGGTACTCGTTAAACCTAATGTTATTGAAATAGATCAATTGAAAATCAATTCAGCCAAATGGAAATTCGCTTAGGCGTCAGGTTTGCTGCGGCGGGGGTATTTTAATGTTGATCAGAAACAAATTTATGGTTAATCTCTGTCAATGGGATGCCTTTACTTAAGACTAATTTTGTTAAACCTTTACAAAAGGAGCATAGACTTAGAAATAGTAACTGGGTAGGGTAGGGATGCTAATTTAGCGGTTTTGACCAAGAACTAAGTTTATCTCAACACACCACTTTTTGACAATTTTCAATACTGTATTTCAATTGGGGAAGCCTTTTTATCAGCATTAACCAAAAAACCAAAGCTACCTTAATAAACCAATATTTATTCATAAACATGTTTGCTGCCTTTAGCAGTTAACCTCTGGAATCATTCAAATTCTTTATTGAAAATAATATCAACAAAAACAAACAACAAACAGTTTTTTTTTTGTTTTTTTTTTACACAAAATATATATTGTACTGGGATATCTATCCTGACACATAGATAATTTGATTCTAAATTTGTTTAAATAGTACAATAATTTCTTTTCCATTTGAGCTTTTTAGGGACTTGTGTCCCTACAAGCCACTAGTTACATAATAAAATGCCTTATCATAGCCTACATTTATCATTATCATAGCCATAACTAGTTAATTAAAATTAACCGGTTAAGTATACAACTTGAAACTCTGATCTGGAGTCACCCTTTGTTGTGAGATCAGATGGATGCCAATCAGTATACCTAGCTAGCCCTGAGTAATGTGTTCCTACTCACAGCAGTTAGTCTACTGATGGATTTGCTTGTTTCATTCAGTCTAGTCTATTTAATGATCATCCTTAACCTACTATGTAATATCAATATGGCATATAAAACGGATCTTATTTACTATTCTGAAAGCTGTTTATGTATTAATATCCTTTAGGATCTTCCTGAACCGTTGCCCGTCGCCCTAAGGTTTCCGAACGAATTGTTTGGAGATTTCATCATGATTCTGGAGTTTCTCAACACCTTTAAAGATACTGTAAATGTCAAAGACTACTTTCCAAGTGGTGTGACACTTGAGCTTCTGGAACGAGCGTTAGTGGAAAAAGAGGTTGCAGGTAAGTTTTCAATTCAAGCGTAACACTCTTATAAATTATGGCAATATAAAAACTAATTCAATTTTCCTTATTTTATTTTTGGTTAGAATTTAAGGATTTTGCAGTGAATAGGTTTAACAACAAGCTTATTTTACTGACAAAAATAGATAAACATGCTCAAATGAATCCATAACACATACATTTTTTTACCACTAGCTCCTTCTTCCATAGTAGAGTATTTTTTGTTCCTTTCTTGTAGATTGTGGAAGGAAGAAGAAGAATATGCCGTCTAATCTATGGGTTTTGGTCACCATCACTAAATCATTACTGAATTATACCATGCAAATTATATATTCACAAGAACCTGAAATGAAATGAAATGAAAAATCATTTATTTACACAGGCAAAGATAGGGCCACATGGCCCTTTCTTACACTTAACCTGTAGTGTATTTTAAAACATAATATAAATATTTTAACATAATCAGCTTATACAATAAAACAAAACAGAAATCATAGATACAGAAACTTTAATAAAAAATCAGTAAATTTTAAAAATACACACACACACACACACACTCATACACATACACACTCACCGCCATGCGCACAGGCCTCTACGACAAACCTACCATGGCCATACGTTCAAAGTAGAAATTTTTAGTGCTATCACAAACCGGGAACGACTATTGAGGGATTTATTAGCTAAAGGGAGATCGTTCCAAAGACGGCAAGCAGTTACAACAAACGCTCTGTCCTAAACTGTGGTCCTATGACGAGGCATACGCAAAGTTAATGGTGCATGGCGTGAGTATCTGACACTTTCTTCAGCTACAAACCTAAAATCATCTACAAAATATTTTGGAAAATAATGTTGAATAGGTTAGCGAAAGAATTTTGATTGATCTCAGGTCACATAGCTTTAATAACTTAGAATGAATGTAGAAAGGGGTGATGCGCTCACTGCGTCTTAGATCATAAATGAATCTTAGGCAGTAGTTCTGAGCGCGTTGGAGAGCATCAGCGAGGTTTACAGTCATGTCATTGATCACAGAGCTGCAGTAAGTGAACCTGCTGTTTTGGTGTAGGATTATTATCTGAGGTTTAGGTTGTGTGGATTTTGGGATTTAGTTATTCACTTGTGGGAAAGTTCTCCTATGTTCTCAATTCTGAGGAGTTGCAAATTAGGCAGGGTGTCCCACCGACCTAGAAAATCAGGAAAACCGGAAATTTTGCTTGAATTTTGTTTTTTACGGGTTATTTCTAATTGGCCGCGACCGCTTAAAGATGAGGTTTCCGTCTGCGAGAGACGATGATGATGTCCAAACGGCCGTGGGATTTGTTAGTGATTTTGCCACTATCGCGCACGACGACGATGACGTTTCCGGGACTGCGGGAAACGATGATGTCGTTTTCATGACCGCGGGTAACAACTTTTCCATTTTTTTTTATGACTTTTCCGTGACCGCGGGAGATGATGACATTTCCGTGACTGTGGGAGATGACGATGACGTTTCCATGACCACGTGAGAAGATGATGATAGTGGTGTTAGTGATTTTTCTGCGCTCGTGCATGCGGACGATGACGTTTCCGTGACCGTGGGATATGACAATGACGTTTCCGTGACAGGTTGAGACAATGATGATGTCCAAATTCCAAATAGACATGGGATTTATTAGTAATTTTGCCATGACCGCGCATGCGGACGATGACGTTTCAGTGACGACGATGACGTTTCCGTGACCGCCTAGATGATGATGTCCAAACGGCCGTGGGATTTGTTAGTGATTTTGCCACGATTACGCATGGGGACGATGACGTTGCCATGACCGCGTGAGACGATAATGATGCCCAAACAGCCGTAGGATTTGTTTGTAATTTTGCCGAGATCGCGCTTGACGAGGATGATGTTTCCGTGACCGCGGGAAACGATGATGATGTCCAAAAAACATTGCTTGAAGATGATGACCCGGGAAATTATTTGAATTAAGCTACGATCGTGGAAGATGATAACTTTATGCGCAAAACGTGTTGGAAAGTTTAGTATGACAAGTACGATCCGAACTACCTGGAATTTTCTTCTTTTACTCATGAATTTTTTCTGGTTGGCCTGGTGGACACCCTGTTAGGGGAAGGGATTTTACTTCAGTAATGAAGCAGCTGTTGAAATCTGTGTTGTTATGGGTGGCAGAATGGCCAACTATGTCTTTGAATAATAGATTTTTCATCACTTGCCTGTGTCAATTCATGCTAGTGCGTAGGATGTTGTTAGTTTGGTAGAGTTAGTGGGTTGTAGGTACTTGGATCAGATAGTTGTTTGTAGACTTCACTGACATAGTTTGATTTATTCATCACCACTGTTGTCGTTGCAGGAGGATCATGAAAGTTCAACTTTTCTCTTAAATGAAAATTAGTCAATTCTAGCTCTTAAAGTGTGCTTTAACTTTCTCGTCACTCAGCGACAATCCACTAGATAAGTTCAACACCGATTTGACCAATTGATTCTTACTGGAAGGTACCCAACAAAAAATGTTAAATGAAACCTCAATCTTCTCGTCAACCCCAGCCCCAGCACTTCTCAGTTTTATCTTCTTCCTAAAATCCTTAAATTCCTGTTTGACCTGGTCTCAACACATTGATTTCATTAGTGGTAAGTTGTCTAGGTTTATTTATCTTCTTAAATGTCTTAGCTCTAGTCTGCCTCAGAATTATTTAAAGTCTGTGTATTATGCTTTTTTTCACTCAATTTTAAGTTATGGTGTTTTGTTATGGGGAAATAGTACCCATGTAAATAATGTATTGTTAATTCAAAAGAAGGCTGTGAGAATCATAACTAGATCTCGCCGAAGATCACATTGTAAACCGTTATTTGTGGGCACTGGTATATTAACTGTCATTAATGTTTTTATCCTGCATTGTCTGATTAATGTTAAGAAAAAGGAAAAAGAGTTTGATTTGCGCCAAGACATTCATGGTTATAACACAAGGAATAGGGGTCTAGTTGATGTACCTCACTGTAGGCTACAGAAAACTGCAAACAGTCATTTTGTTTTAGGTATTAAATTATTTAATAAGCTTCATCCCCAAGTCAAGTCCTTGCCGTTAAGTGTCTTTAAAAGAAAAAATGGTACCCATCTTGACAGATTATTTGCACCTGCCCATATTACGGACTTTGGCGCACTGGTTATTTGGTAACATTATTGAAAATAAAACGACATTTTGGCTGTAAAATATGGTACACTTGAGTCCCGCTAATCCGAACACGGTTAGTCCGAACGTCCGCTTAATCCGAACACGTTCCCGATATTATTTTTAATAAATTTGCACTATATAAAATGCAATGGGAAAGGTAAAATATCTTGAAATGAAGTATAAACAGAGTAATCAATTAAGGAATGCAATGGTTTGTTTATTATGTAAAGTTTAAATTTACAAATCGTAATAAAAAACAACAAATAAAACAAAGAATTATTTTGTAAGAAATATTGCACATACCTTACTGAAAAATTAACTTTGGTTAGGCCTACTTGTTATTGGACATTTAATCCCGCATTGTCATTTGCTGCAGTTTAGTAAGTCTGTTTTTTTGCCGCGTAGATCCGCCATTTTCTCATGAACATCACATCTGCAGGCGTGGCAGTAGACTGTTTGACTGTTGTTCTAAGTAGCGAAGGGCAAGGTCAAGCGCTGCAGCTGCCTCAATGTGTGTCACTTTCTCCTCTCCTCCCCCGCTCCCTGGCTGTCATCACTACCTTCCCCCTCGTCGCCCTGAACATGATCTTGCGTCACTGCTGCTAGCTGCTCTGATGTCATCGTCAGTCAGAGTCTGACGACAGTCAGAGCAGACGTACAGTCCGCGCGCATTATCGTCACATCATACACGTCTGCCCACCCGTTCATATCGCTCTACGCTAAGTTTGATTGACTAATGCGCTTATTTAACTTTTGTTTTTTAATTTTGTTGTAGTAAATGGACTATTAATATTGGTTTTTGTGTATGGCTCGTTCATATTACGACACTACAACCGCATAAAATTGCTTCCTTCTTGATTATTTACATTATTTCGGCTAATCCGAACGAGGTTCTGTCCCAATTAGTTCGGATTAGCCAGACTGCACTGTACAAAGAGAAAATACTATTTAAGCAGCTACTGTCATGACAGAAAGGTCATATTCCTTTTAAGCTAGATCACATAATCCTTTATAAGATAAGTTGATTAACAATATGTAAACGTCAATATATACATAACAGCCAATTTACAGTATTTTTGCTTTTTGGAAATGTCCCATTGCTCTGTCATTTGCATTATTTGTTGCTAATGAAGCCGCAAGACCATATGAACTAGGAGGCCCCTAACAGTTCAAGAATAAAAGCCAACATAACTTCAAGTATTCCACTACACCTAACATTCCGTAGAGAGATTATATTGACAACTTTATGTTATTGATAAGGCTGAGACAACTAACTGACATCCCCCATGTCAAGAAATTCCAGCTTTTACAGTAACCCCACAACCAATTTCTCAAAACTATGACAGAGGGTTGTTCATTGGCACAGAAGTGCGATACGAACTGACCAGACGTGACGAAAGAAAAATCTAACTTACACTGTAACGGATATACCTCTCTTTGAAATTAGAACGTGTCTTCCCAACAAACAGATATTTTTTTCAAATCAAATCATAGATTAATCTGCATTACACTGATGAAATCACGGAAGTATTTAACTACAAAAGATCCACCAATACGATTTTAACACTATTTAAAGGTTCTTCCAAAGGAAGAGATACCAGATAACCTACTAATAATAGCTCGGATGACGTACGGTGTGGGAAATATTTTATTCGTTGAATGATCAACCATTTTTTGTAACTAACGCAATAATAACATTATTGTTTTTACACTTATTACTCTTTAAACAAAAAACAATGCTAAATGCTCAAAATATGTATAATATCACTTAATTTATTGCAGTAAGATGAATTAGCGTAAGCCTTGAATGTAACCGTCGATTTCGTTAA